CATCCCCTACGCCCACAGCCCCTCGGTGCGGAAACTCTCCAAAATCGCCACCCTGCTCCTGGCCAAGAACTACATCCTCATGCAGGCGCAGGCCCTGGAGGAGATGCGGCGGCTGGCAGCCTACCTCAACCAGGGCCAGACGCTGAGCACCCCGCTGCCCGCCACCCTCAACCCCTTCGGACAGTCGGCCGTCTACCCCTTTGGCGGCACGGCCTTGCCCGGCTGCCCTGAGAAATGCACTGCCTTCACAGGAGCCGCCTCTGCCCTCTGCAAACACTGTAATGACAAGCCTTGACTTCTGGCTTCTTTGGGCTTTCTGGTTTTGTTTTCTTCTTTTTTTTTTTTTTTTTTTTTTTTTTCCTGTGCACTTTTCTTTCCACTACCATCAGCCCTGGCTTCCTACCATCAGTTAAGTCTGGGTTTTCTTTTTGTTTGCTTTTCTTAAATACCCCCTCCCCTTACCCCATTTGGAAGTATTTGGCAGTTTACATGGACCCCAAAAACACCCACTCTCAACTTTGTTTAGTTACCCCCCACATGCAACTCCATCTGTAGAGTTATTTCCTTCCCAGCGTGTTAATGGACTGTGAGCATAATGTTGCTTTTCTGCTTGCTCTGATCTACAAAGTTTCTGAGCGGTTTTTAAACTAAACTATAGAAAACCAGGGAGGGAGAGAGATGTGGAAGCAGAAACCTCGTGAGTTTTCTTTGGTATGATCAAGCTGTGTTAAAAGTAGCTTAAAAGCAGAGGGGGGGGGAGCAAAATCCAGCTGCAAAACTATGCAATGTTTCAGAATCATGGGGGGGTCCTGCGTAGCCAGCTGGGGTCGGACTGCAACCGCGAAGCCAAATGAAAATGTCATTTGGTCAGCTCCTGGGGGGGCAGGGCGAAGTTCGGTGCTCTTGATAAAACAATAGATGCTTCAAAATGAGATGCTTCTTATTTTTTTGCTTTAGGAGGAAAAAAAAAAAGAGAAATGAACCCGTTCTTGAACTGAGAGGAACCTGTGATTGTATGCTAATGCTTGCTTTTTGCCTGTTTCTCAGCTTGGTTACGTTTTCCAGATGATTTTCCAAAGTTGTTGCTCATCATGACAAACAAAGCAAAAGGTCACGTAACATATTTATATGTATTTATAATAAATAAAAGACATGAATAACCACTTTCTCTGTCCTACATGTCTCTCAAACCAGCTGGCAGTCAAAGCAAAACCCCTGCTGAAGTAAGGTAAAGCGGAGACGGACGTGGCAGTCCTTTGCGGAGGAGCAGCGTAGTGAAGTTAGGCAAATGATCAGAATACTTGGAAAAAGCTTGTGGACGTTCAGCTCCTTATCAGCAGGGATTTGCTTTTTCTCCAGTTTCTCATGAATCATGAGCGCACAAAAAAATGTTGTTTATGCCTGACATTTAGAGTTAAGTAGGTAGAGATTTAGCTTGTGTATTTTGACACTTGCTGGAGAATGCTGTGCTCTGAAAGTGCTGTTTAAAAGGGGTTATTGTAGCATCGAGCTTAGCTCCGAGGACATCCATGTAAAACATGGCAGGGAAGGAAATCGCTTAAAGACTCTGCTTATCCCTTTGGCTCAGTTTTATGTTATATTTACGGCTTGACCATAGACCTGTGTGTGGGGTTCGGGCTATTTAATACCATGACTAAACTAATAATCTCTTGCCAAGTATTAACTGTGTTAGTACAAGTTACAAAGCGAGTCCCTCGCTGGCTAAGTTTTTGATGTTGCTTGTGTTGGTTTACTTTGGTTTTCTGGTTTATGATGTTTAATGCTTTGGTGCCTTGTATGCTTCACTAGTCATTATATAATAATAATAATTGAGGTGCATTCGGTGATTTCTGTCCAGATTGGAATACCCACCCAATGTCAGCGCAACCGCATAAACTGGTACAGTCGCAGCCTGAGGGGCTAGAGCTGTCCGTGGCCATTTGTGTTAGGAGTGGGGTGTAACTATTTAGGGTTATTAAACCAATTTCCATGCCTGTCGCTAGTGTTATGCTAATTTGAAAAGGACTGCCATCCCTCTAAAGCCGCTTGTCTGTGGCACTTAATTTTAATTAATACAATTCCGAAAGGCTTTTTTGTGTTTGGAAAACGAAGTGTGTGATTAAGCTTCATTCATAAAGACATATGTTGAAAACTGGTTCCTGCTCATTTCCATTTTTGTATCTTCATTTCTTCTTTTTTTACAGAATAGTTTTACAGAACAGTTTATCTGTTGTACCTTTTTCCGTAAAAGAAAATCTTGAAAATACTCTTAAAAGGCATCTGATGAAGCAAAAGCCGACCAAAACCACTACGGAAGCAAAAATGACTGGAAACTGCAAATCAGCAAAGATCATTTAAAATTTTGCAGACTGAGTTGTTGCTAGATAATATTTTGAAAAAAAGGTCAGCTTAATGGAGAATCACGATTTTTAGGTAAATGTTTATTACTTCTGGTTAGAATTATAGAAGATTGAGCAGTTGGGAATATTTAAATGGAGATTAGTTTCACTGTTCATTTTTCACCAAAACTTAAATAGCTGGAGAATAAAGTATTTAACAGCTTGATACTAAATATGAGTTTGGTTTGGCTAAAGCCACTGGCAATAATGGAATTTATAACTACTTTTTTCTCAAATAATTATGGCAAAAAATGTGGCTCACTAATTTCAGAGCCTAAAAAAGTCCTCATAGTCTTAGAGACAAGCTATTTTTGGAACAATGGTTTTTAGCACGATGATTGTTTAATTCTTCTCCTATGATTTACGTGAGCAAAAAGCTTGCTCATATTACCCTATCTACCTAGAATCCTAAAAATCCACCTTCTGAGAGTCCTTGAAATATTCAGAAGGCTCTTTGAGAGCCCACTTTGAATTAAACGATCTCAGGAGGCTAAATGTGGCATTTCAAATGCAGAAGATAAGACCTGCATTACAGAAAATTTTGATAGAAAAAGTAGCAAGCTTGAGTATCTACGTACTGTTAAAAGGCTAGGTATTAAAAACAGAAGGGAAGAACTTATCAAAGCAATACTAGAGGAACTTGTAAATCACTGTTAAAATCAGCCTTAAAGTACAGGTTTGTTAATTCAAAAGTAAAAAGAAGTCCAATCATAACTTTTCCTGCAACAAGCAAATTAATATTAAACTAAAACACAGTGGACTAACTCTCGGTGAATCTGAAGGTTCAGTCCTGTGAGTTGCTTCCAGCCACCACGGACTTTAGGATCTGAACTCTTCTCATTCAGACTTGAAACCCGTGCGGAGCCCTTTGCCTTGCCCGTTGGCAGGAGGGCATCTCTTCCGCTGTGATTTACGCTTTGTGCTGAGCTGCTGCTAAAACCGCTGCCAAGCGAATGCCTAATGCCACTGGAAAGATGATTTTGTTGGGAGGGGATAAACTAGCGTCTGATTATTGCATTTGTGCGCATGAAGGATCGGTGCTAACCTTGCAAACGTGCACGGTTATCCTGGGGATGAGATCCCGTAACTTGTCATTTGTTTTTCCCTTTCTCTGGCATATGGAAAAAAAAAATTATTTTGTGTACCGTGTAAGGTGTTAAGTGTCTGCTTCCAGCTGGTGTTTCACAGAATATGAAGGGAGGACTTCAAAATGCTGAAGATCTGTTTTTCTGCTCAAATGTTCTTGTTATGATGCCTGCTTTTTTGACTTGAAACCCGTGCGGAGCCCTTTGCCTTGCCCGTTGGCAGGAGGGCATCTCTTCCGCTGTGATTTACGCTTTGTGCTGAGCTGCTGCTAAAACCGCTGCCAAGCGAATGCCTAATGCCACTGGAAAGATGATTTTGTTGGGAGGGGATAAACTAGCGTCTGATTATTGCATTTGTGCGCATGAAGGATCGGTGCTAACCTTGCAAACGTGCACGGTTATCCTGGGGATGAGATCCCGTAACTTGTCATTTGTTTTTCCCTTTCTCTGGCATATGGAAAAAAAAAAATTATTTTGTGTACCGTGTAAGGTGTTAAGTGTCTGCTTCCAGCTGGTGTTTCACAGAATATGAAGGGAGGACTTCAAAATGCTGAAGATCTGTTTTTCTGCTCAAATGTTCTTGTTATGATGCCTGCTTTTTTTCCAAGATGGATTCACGGTGTATGCTCAGATGGAACTGAAATACAGATCATGTGTTCTAATGTACTCGTTATCCTGGTATGTTCATACTTCAAAGAAAACATAATGCCAACTTTTAATTAAAGATAATATATTGTTTTCTAACCTCATTTAGTTTTTCTTTAAACTTCAAGAACGATCAGCATGAGGCGTCATTAGGAAGAGACACAAAGAGGAGATGCTGTTCCAGTGCCCGTTGCTTTTTTAAGCTCTGTAATTCTAGTCACTAACCAAAGCTGATGGTTTACCTACCAGTATAACCTTACTAATAGGGGGTTGGAAACTGCTGTCCATTTGCACTGCGTCAATCCAGATTTAACATTAGCAGTCTTGAGCTTGTGAGGTAAAATCTTATTTAACCAAATACAGGGAAGCAACAGGTTTGAAGATGGAGCTCCCGGAAGGCAGGTGTCTACTTCAGATACCAGCAAAAAGTTAAATCAGCTGGAGTTCTGAGAAAGAAGCCCTGAGAATCATGCAGTTTTCCTTGTTCTTTAATCCGTATCGCTGATTTTCTGACGTATCGTCACAGTATCTGCCTATTGCTGCATTGCCAAGCTTGTTTCCGAGACTTTAGAAAGCGATGGGTCATTGTTCTCAGATCATTTCGGGATTGTTCTTTACAGATGTGTTTCTATAATTCCCTTTCTAAAACGGTAGTTGACGTCTTACAAGGGTGAAATGAACGTAGGGTCCGATCCTGCTGCTGTTTTACTAACTGGCAGCATTTCTGGTGATGCTAGTGACAGAAAGATGGGGCCTGATGCTTCAGAGCACAGCAGTGGTTTCCGAAACCAGCACAACGCTGCCTTCTTTGAGAGGCTCCAGTGGACCAGAAAAACCTGTACAAGCTTTATCCCTTTACTGCATCGGCCCTGCAGCAGAACTGTAGAGCGTTGGGCACGGTGGATAAAGACCTCACTGAAACGCTTTCGCGGTTCTCCAGACCGAGCCTGCTTATTGCCAGCTCAGCAGCGAGGGAGTCGCGGCGCGTGTCCCGCAAGGTTGAGTTCTCACGTACGGCAGGCTTCTAGTCGAGTTTTCCACAACTCGGATTATTTCGCTTACGGTTCAGGAGAACAAAACCAAGCATTCCACATTGTGCTTTTCCCTCCTGCTTCTATAGCGTATGTTCGAACAAGTGTGTTTCCTGGACGCGCTCCTGAAAATAA